AAAAAGCAAAACACCACTCCCGGGAGGGCTCGAACCTCCAACTTTCCGGTTAACAGCCGATCACACTAGCCAATTGCGCCACGGAGACAGTCCTGCTCCACTCTCACCACCATCAGAACATATCTTCAAAGCTATCAGCCCACAGAAAAAAAAGCGCCGCACCACCACAGGGAGAGCTCGAACCTTCAACTTTTCGGTCAACAGCCGATCGCGCTAGCCAATTGCGCAACGGAGACAGTCCTGCTCCACCCTCACCACCGTCAGAACATTTCTTCAGAGCTATCAGCCCAAAGAAAAAAAAAGCGCTGCACCACCATCGAGTGGGCTCGAACCTCCAACGTTACGGTTAACAGCCGATCGCGCTAGCCAATTGCCCCACGGAGACAGTCGTGCTCCACTCTCACCATCATCAGAACATATCTTCAAAGCTATCAGCCCAAAGAAAAAAAAAAGCGCTGCACCACCACCGGTTGGGCTCGAACCTCCAACTTTCCGGTAACAGCCGATCGCGCTAGCCAATTGCGCCACGAGACAGTCCTGCTCCACTCTCACCACCATCAGAACATATCTTCAAAGCTATCAGCCGCAAAGAAAAAAAGCAGACAACCACTCACCTTGGAGGGCTCGAACCTCCAACCTTTTCGGTTAACGCCGATCGCGCTAGCCATTGCGCCACGGAGACAGTCCTGCTCCACTCTCACCACATCAGAACATATCTTCAAAGCTATCAGCCCAAAGAAAAAAAAAGCGCCGCACCACCACCGGTGGGCTCGAACCTCCAACTTTCGGTTAACAGCCGATCGCGCTAGCCAATTGCGCCACGGAGACAGTCCTGCTCCACTCGCACCACCATCAGAACATTCTTCAAAGCTATCAGCCCAAAGAAAAAAAAGCGCCGCACCACACCGGGTGGGCTCGAACTCCAACCTTTCGGTTAACAGCCGATCACGCTAGCCAATTGCACCACGGAGACAGTCCTGCTCCGCTCTCACCACCATCAGAACATATCTTCAAAGCTATCGGCCCACAGAAAAAATGCGCCGCACAACCACCGGGTAGGCTCGAACCTCCAACTTTTCGGTTAACAGCCGATCGCACTAGCCGATTGCGCCTCGGAGACAGTACTGCTCCACTCTCACCACCATAAGAACATATCTTCAAAGCTATCAGCCCAAAGAAAAAAAAGCGCCGCACCACCACTGGGTGGGCTCGAACCTCCGACCTTTTGGTTAACAGCCGATCGCGCTAGCCAATTGCGCCACAAAGGCAGTCCTGCTCCACTCTCACCACCATCAGAACATAACTTCAAAGCTATCAGCCCAAAGAAAAAAAAGCGCCGCACCACCACCGGGTGGGCTCGAACCTCCAACTTTCCGGTTAACAGCCGATCACGCTAGCCAATTGCGCCACGGAGACAGTCCTGCTCCACTCTCACCACCGTCAGAACATTTCTTCAGAGCTATCAGCCTAAAGAAAAAAAAGCGCTGCACCACCACCGGGTGGGCTCGAACCTCCAACCTTACGGTTAACAGCCGATCGCGCTGGCCAATTGCCCCACGGAGACAGTCGTGCTCCACTCTCACCATCGTCAGAACATTTCTTCAGAGCTATCACCCCAAAGCTTTCCGGTTAACAGCCGATCGCGCCTGCCCATTGCGCCACGGAGACAGTCTTGCTCCACTCTCACCACCATCAGAACATAACTTCAAAGCTATCAGCCCAAAGAAAAAAAAGCGCCGCACCACAACCGGGTGGGCTCGAACCTCCAACTTTTCGGTTAACAGCCGATCGCGCTAGCCAATTGCGCCACGGAGACAGTCGTGCTCCACTCTCACCACCATCAGAACATATCTTCAAAGCTATCCGCGCAAAGAAAAAAGCAACACACCACTCCCGGGAGGGCTCGAACCTCCAACTTTCCGGTTAACAGCCGATCACGCTAGCCAATTGCGCCACGGAGACAGTCCTGCTCCACTCTCACCACCATCAGAACATATCTTCAAAGCTATCAGCCCAAAGAAAAAAAAGCGCCGCACCACCACCGGGTGGGCTCGAACCTCCAACTTTTCGGTTAACAGCCGATCGCGCTAGCCAATTGCGCCACGGAGACAGTCCTGCTCCACTCTCACCACCGTCAGAACATATCTTCAAAGCTATCAGCCCAAAGAAAAAAAAGCGCCGCACCACCACCGGGTGGGCTCGAACCTCCAACCTTTCGGTTAACAGCCGATCGCGCTAGCCAATTGCGCCACGGAGACAGTCGTGCTCCACTCTCACCACCGTCAGAACATTTCTTCAGAGCTATCAGCCCAAAGAAAAAAAAGCGCCGCACCACCACCGGGTGGGCTCGAACCTCCAACCTTTCGGTTAACAGCCGAACGCGCTCTCCGATTGCGCCACGGAGGCAATCGTCCAGCTCTCTCACGACCGTCAGTATATTCCATCAAAGCTATCAGCCCAAAGAAAAAAAAGCGCCGCACCACCACCGGGTGGGCTCGAACCTCCAACCTTTCGGTTAACAGCCGATCGCGCTAGCCAATTGCGCCACGGAGACAGTCGTGCTCCACTCTCACCACCATCAGAACATATCTTCAAAGCTATCAGCCCAAAGAAAAAAAAGCGCCGCACCACCACCGGGTGGGCTCGAACCTCCAACCTTTCGGTTAACAGCCGAACGCGCTCTCCGATTGCGCCACGGAGGCAATCGTCCAGCTCTCTCACGACCGTCAGTATATTCCATCAAAGCTATCAGCCCAAAGAAAAAAAAGCGCCGCACCACCACCGGGTGGGCTCGAACCTCCAACCTTTCGGTTAACAGCCGATCGCGCTAGCCAATTGCGCCACGGAGACAGTCCTGCTCCACTCTCACCACCATCAGAACATATCTTCAAAGCTAGCAGTCCATCGACACGGAACAAAGAAACCTTTCTTGCAACAATGGTTACGGGCATGTTACGCTGTGCAGCTGAAAAAAAAATGTCTTTGCACTTGCGGGTTACGGTCATCATTTTTCACTATCTTCAATTAGTCCGTGCAGCACCAACCTGGTATACTGATCGTAGATAGGCTGATGGCAGCATTACGTCACGTAAAACTCTAAAGACGCATTTTCTTTTACAAACAGATAAATATTCCATTGAAATCTCACTTTCAGTATTTCATATGCCATTATAACTTCTCTTAAATATCCGCGTAGGTTACATTTCACAGACATACTTGATACCACATAATCAGGAATCTTATTAGAAAGTACAATTTGTAGAAATGTTCTCACAAACGGGTTACATTGGTCGCGTAAAAAAAATATATCTAGACACAATTTGCTTGAGGAAGAGGTGAGCCAATCCTAAACCACCATTTCTTAGTGAATGAAATAAGTTTGTTCGACTCGTACGCTCCCAAACCGACCCCCAAACAAACACAGCTAAGACTCGATGCAATTTCTGCACATTTGCTCTTGACATAAATAGGAACTGCAGAACATACCATACTTTGCAAACAATGAACCAATTGCATGCAGTCGCTCTAGAAAACATAGAAAGTTCCCTACCACCCCAGTTTCTTGTCTTCTCACGAGTGCTCTCACATATCTCTTTCCAGTAATCATCCGTGTTTTTGTAATGCTGGAGGGGTACTCCGAGATACTTCGTCGGTACAAGTGACCAGTTCATATTTGCAAAGTTTTGTGGGGTGGTCTCCCAAGAACCATGCCACAAGCCTAGGCATTTGTCCCAGTTTACTGCACTGCCTGTCATCTTGCAAAAATAGGCCACATGACGTATCACTTCACTGACACTTTCCTTATCGCTACAAAACACGGCGATATCGTCGGCATATGTTAGCATTTTAACTTCACTGTTCATTAGCTGATACCCTTTTATTGTTTCATTGCTAATAATCTTCATGCAGAAAGGTTCCATATATATTGCAAATAATAAAGCCGAAATGGGATCACCTTGCCGCACACCGTTTGTCACTTGAAAGCTTTCAGTAAGTCGCCCATTAATTACAATACTCGTAAAGCACTCTCTATAGGCCATTTTTACCCCGTCCAAAATGACAGACCCTACATTAACATATTCTAATATCAAAAAAAGGATATCATGATTTACACGGTCAAAGGCTTTTTCCAGATCTAATTGCAACATTGCAACCTTGCTACCAAACACATCGCAACTCTCCAGCACGCTTCTCGCTACATGAACATTTGTATTTATTGTGCGTCCTTTTATACCACAAGTCTGGTGTGGTCCAACTAGTATTTTCATCATCCTTTGCAACCTGCCTGCAAGAACCTTCATAAACACTTTATAGTCTGTGTTGGCTAAACTGATTGGTCGGTACGACTTGACGGACAATAATTTTTTGGGGTCGTCAGTTTTCGGTATGAGTATTACGTGCGTCTTTTTAAATGAGCCGGGCAGAACCTTTAATCTTATAGCCTCCGTGAAGACACGATGTAAGGCAACAGAAATAACACCTTTAAAAGTCTTGTACAATGCGGCACCAAATCCATCAGGTCCCGGTGCTTTGCCAGCCGCTAGGTCATCAATAGCCTTTTCTATTTCGGACACTTCAATCGCTATCTCCAGCTGCTCTCTCTCGTTATCAGAGAGCTTTGGTATCAAATGCAGAAACTGAGCCTCAAACCCTTCCTCTGCCTTCACTTTTCGGCCAAGTATGCCTCGGAAATATTCGACAAATACTTGCTCAATTGCTGTCGCTTCACGTACAATACCGCTATCAGTTGCAATCGCTTTGATTTCATTTCGCTTGGCGTATCTTTTTTCATCCCCAAGTGCACGCTTTGTTGGTGTTTCGCCGAGAGATAATTTTTCTGCACGTGCCCTTATCACCGCCCCTCTATATTTTTCAATGTCAATTGCCTCCAATTGGTTTTTAATCTGCCTTATTTCTTTTGTGTACTTTCCTGGCATTTTACTTTCTAGACTCAATGCGAAGTCTAACTGACATTGCAAATCTTTTTCTTTTTCCTTTTTGGCTCTATGTAACACACCGGATCTTTCTATGGCTTTCATCTTTGTTACCTCCTTAAAACGCTCCCAGGCTTCAATCACGTTCGCTTGAGGCTCAGCTAACATTTTGTTAATGGAATCCTGCACAGCTTCAACGAACAATTCATCTTTTAATAATAAGTCGTTTAATTTCCACACATCCCAGTTAAAGCGTGTCTTCTTCTGTTTATACCCTATAGTGAACATTACTAAACTGTGGTCACTGAAAGACACACTTTTTACTTCATAATTCGAACATACTCGCATTAACTCTACTGACACATAGGCTCTGTCTAGCCTCGCATGGCTTTCGTTCTGAAAGTGTGTGAAGTGCTCTTCTGCAGAGAGCACATCACCAACATCTTCGAGATGACAATCTTGTACAATAGTGCAGAGTAGCGTTGCACTTTGGTCTTTTATGGCTGCTTTTTTTGCTCTGTCCTGAGGGTTGCAAACACAATTAAAGTCGCCGAGCATAATGACAATCCTGCCACAGCTAAGAAAAGTCTGTAAATTCTCAAACAATAATTTACGTTCAACTTCTTTGTTCGGTGCGTAAACACAGACAACTCGCCATTTTTTATTATTATATGTAAAATCGCAAACTATGAATCTCCCAGTACTAGACACAGTTACAGTCTCCTCAACTATACCAATAGAATTTTTAAGGAACAGTGCACAACCCGCCGACATTCCAACGGCATGAGACACACACACATCGTACCGGGCTCTAAAAGGGGACACCATTCGGTCAGTCTGATCTTGCCCTTCAACTTTTGTTTCCTGAATGGCAATAACATCGAGATCACGTTCAAGCATCAAACGACTTAATTGATACTGCCTTCGTCGAGCGGCAAGTCCCCTGACATTGAGAGTCGCAACTCTCAATTCTGCTTCGACGCTCATAGCCATTAGGACGTGAATGGCCGTCCCGGCCACATGGTTCTCACCTCTGATACTCCTTTATCACCATCAGGTCCAAGGTTCGATATGGTCTGATAGGTCCCCTTTCTTTTGATCACAAAAGTAGAGCGCCGCGCACGTTTCACGCAGCACATTATGCACACTTCACCACTGCGCTCCATTTGTTGGTGCTTCCGCCGGGTCAATACTTGTGTCACTTAATCCAGACCCCCACCTTACGGGGGCTTTTGATCTGAAGGGGGCCCCGCTGAAGGCCCCTTCTGTTGATGATCTGTCAGTCGCTGATGCAATGTCTGCTGATTCGGCACTGGTTGCTGCTGCGGCGGTTGTGTCTGTTGCACCTGGGTTGGTGGGAGGTTCTCGGCTATTCGACGTTCGCTGAGGATGTTAGGTGCCGGTCTACGGCGCACGTTCATCGCCTTGGCCGGTGGTTCCTCCACTTCTTTCGTTGTAGCAGCCTTCTGGCCTTCCGCCTCTTCCCTGGGCCTTTTACATGTATTTGACGTGTCCATGTTTTCCGACATTTCTTCCTGTGCTGCAAGCGCCGTTATATCTTGTGTGTTCCTCGTGGATTGCACGTCTTTTGTAGAACCCTTGTCTTTGTTAAACGTCGTCTCAGCACCTGTGGGGCGTGGCGTAAGGGGCGTCAACTTGGGTTTCGGTTCCTCCCGACGCGCCCCTATCAGCTCTTCTGCTTCAGCCTCGTCCATGTGATGCTCGGAAAGTTCTTCGCCTCCCGCGGGCCCTGCTACACTTGCATATGTTCTCATACAGCCGCTCTCATTATGCCCAAAACGCCGACACACTGTACAACGTGGGGCTCGGCAATCCCTCCTAATATGACCTGTTCCGCGGCAACGCAGGCATAGCGGTGCTCTTCCCGCGACGACAACTAGCGTGAGGTCTCCGGCAATCCGCAACTGATGTGGGAGGTCATCCACCGTGAGGCCAGCTTTGAGCCTGATGCTCACCACTCGCGTCGAAGAGCCTTTGTCGGTGCATCCATACACGCGCCAGCGCTCTCGCACTATTTCGTTCACCTTGCCATAAGGAGCCAACGCTGCCCTCACCTCGTCGTCAGGAACGTTAAACAATAGCCAGTGTATCTTCAGCTTCGTATCCTGGTGGTTAGGGTCGATAGTGATACAGCGCTGGTTCTTCACCACAATGTCCCCAGCAGCGAGTATTCTCTTCTTGCCCTCCTCGTCCTTGAAAGTGATGGCCCAAACATGATTCATTTGGTACGCCCCCAAGGCAGCAACCTCGGGAAGCAAAGCCAAACGAATAAGAGCGTCCCTGAAATCCTCAACGCGATACGGCCGCGCCTTGATATCAGCGTGCAAAAAGACAGTATGCAGCGTTGAATCATTTGATGGCAGTCGGGGCAAAATAATCTGATAATCCTGTGACGATTCGTCCATGTTCCTGGTACCACGACCGAGCTGGGCCGTTGATGCCGCTCCGATATCGCCGGAGCTCATGCCGCCACGTCCGTACACTACGGTGGCCGGAAGTGGAATACTTGCGCCACGGAGACAGTCCTGCTCCACTCTCACCACCATCAGAACATATCTTCAAAGCTATCAGCCCAAAGAAAAAAAAGCAACACACCACCTCCCGGGAGGGCTCGAACCTCCAACTTTCGGTTAACAGCCGATCGCGCTAGCCAATTGCGCCACGGAGACAGTCCTGCTCCACTCTCACCACCATACGAACATATCTTCAAAGCTATCAGCCCAAAGAAAAAAAAAGCGCCGCACCACCACCGGGTGGGCTCCAACCTCCAACCTTTCGGTTAACAGCCGATCGCGCTAGCCAGTTGCGCCACGGAGACAGTCCTGCTCCACTCTCACCACCATCCAGAACATAATCTTCAAAGCTACACCCCAAAGAAAAAAAAGCGCCGCACCACCACCGGGTGGGCTCGAACCTCCGACCTTTCGGTTAACAGCCGATCGCGCTAGCCAATTGCTGCCACGGAGACAGTCCGTGCTCCACTCTCACCACCATCAGAACATATCTTCAGAGCTATCAGCCCAAAGAAAAAAAGCGCCGCACACCACCGGGTGGGCTCGAACCTCCAACCTTTCGGTTACAGCCGATCGCGCTAGCCAATTGCGCCACGGAGACAGTCGTGCTCCACTCTCACCACCTCAGAACATATCTTCAAGCTATCAACGCAAAGAAAAAAAGCGCCGCACCACCACCGGGTGGGCTCGAAACCTCCAACCTTTCGGGTAACAGCCGATCGCGCTAGCCAATTGCGCCACGGAGACAGTTCTGCTCCACTCTCACCCACCATCAGAACATATCTTCAAAGCTATCAGCCCAAAGAAAAAAAAGCGCCGCACCACCACCGGGTGGCTCGAACCTCCAAGCTTTCGGTTAACAGCCGATCGCGCTAGCCAATTGCGCCACGGAGAACAGTCGTGCTCCACTCTCACCACCATCAGAACATATCTTCAGAGCTATCAGCCCAAAGAAAAAAAAAGCGCCGCACCACCACCGGGTGGGCTCGAACCTCCTACCTTTCGGTTAACAGCTGATCGCGCTAGCCAATTGGCGCCACGGAGACAGTCGTGCTCCACTCTCACCACCATCAGAACATATCTTCAAAGCTATCAGCCAAAGAAAAAAAAGCGCCACACCACTCCCGGGTGGGCTCGAAACCTCCAACCTTTCGGTTAACAGCCGATCGCGCTAGCCAATTGCGCCACGGAGACAGTCTGCTCCACTCTCACCACCATCAGAACATATCTTCAAAGCTATCAGCCCAAAGAAAAAAAAGCGCCGCACCACCATCCGGGTGGGCTCGAACCTCCAACCTTTCGGTTAACAGCCGATCGCGCTAGCCAATTGCGCCACGGAGACAGTCGTGCTCCACTCTCACCACCGTCAGAACATTTCTTCAAGCTATCAGCCCAAAGAAAAAAAAGCGCCGCACCACCACCGGGTGGGCTCGAACCTCCAACCTTTCGGTTAACAGCCGATCGCGCTAGCCAATTGCGCCACGGAGACAGTCTGCTCCACTCTCACCACCATCAGAACATATTCTTCAAGAGCTATCAAGCCCAAAGAAAAAAAAGCGCCGCACCACCACCGGGTAGTGCTCGAAACCTCCAACCTTTCGGTTAACAGCCGATCGCGCTAGCCAATTGCGCCACGGAGACAGTCGTGCGCACCTCTCACCACCATCAGAACTAATCTTCAAAGCTATCAGCAGCAAAGAAAAAAGCAACACACCACTCCCGGGGAGGGCTCGAACCTCCAGCCTTTCGGTTAAAAGCCGATCGCGCTAGCCCATTGCGCCACGGAGACAGTCCGTGCTCCACTCCACCACCTCAGAACATATCTTCAAAGCTATCTAGCGCAAAGAAAAAAGCAGACACACCACGCCGGGATGAGCTCGAACCTCCAACCTTTTCGGTTAACAGCCGATCGCGCTAGCCAATTGCGCCACGGAGACAGTCCGTGCTCCACTCTCACCACCAGTCAGAACATATTCTTCAGAGCTATCAGCCCAAAAAAAAAAGCGCCGCACCACCACCTGGTGGGCTCGAACCTTCCAACCTTTCGGTTAACAGCCGATCGCGCTAGCCAATTGCGCACGGAGACAGTCCTGCTAACGCTCCACCACCATCAGAACATATCTATCAAAGCTATCAGCCCAAAGAAAAAAAAAAGGCAAGCACCACACTCCGGTAGGCTCGAACCTCCAAACCTTTCCTGTTCACAGCCGATCGCGCTAGCCACTTGCCGGCCACGGAGGATAGTCTGCTCCACTCTCACACACATCAGAACATATCTTCAGCTGTATTCAGCCCAAAGAAAAAAAGCGGCCTCACCACCACCCGTGTGGACTCGAACCTCCAATCCGTTTCGGTCACACAGCCGATCGCGCTAGCCAATTGCCGCCTACGGAGACAGTCCGGGCTCCACTATCCACCAGCATTCAGATACATCTCTTCAAAGTCTATCAGCGCCAAAGAGAAAAAAGCAACACACCACCTGCTCTGGGAGGGCTCGAACCTCCACCCTTTCTCGGTTAACAGCCGATCGCGCATAGCCATGGCGCCACAGGAGGACAGTCCTGCTCCACTCTCACCACCATCAGAACATACTCTTCAAAGCTATCCAGCCCAAAGAAAAAAAAAGCGCCGCACCACCACCGGGTGGGCTCGAACCTCCAACCTTTCGGTTAACAGCCGATCGCGCTAGCCAATTGCGCCACGGAGACAGTCGTGCTCCACTCTCACCACCATCAGAACATTATCTTCAGAGCTATCAGCCCAAAGAAAAAAAAAGCGCCGCACCACCACCGGGTAGGGCTCGAACCTCCAACCTTTCGGTTAACAGCCGATCGCGCTAGCCAATTGCGCCACGGAGACAGTCTGCTCCACTCTCACCACCATCAGAACATATCTTCAAAGCTATCAGCGCAAAGAAAAAAAGCGCCGCACCACCACCGGGTGGGCTCGAACCTCCAACCTTTCGGTTAACAGCCGATCGCGCTAGCCAATTGCGCCACGGAGACAGTCTGCTTCCACTCTCACCACCATCAGAACATATCTTCAAAGCTATCAGCCCAAAGAAAAAAAAGCGCCGCACCACCACCGGTGGGCTCGAACCTCCAACCTTTCGGTTAACAGCCGATCGCGCTAGCCAATTGCGCCACGGAGACAGTCGTGCTCCACTTCACCACCATCAGAACATATCTTCAAAGCTATCAGCCCAAAGAAAAAAAGCGCCGCACCACCACCGGAGGGGCTCGAACCTCCACCTTTCGGTTAACAGCCGATCGCGCTAGCCAATTGCGCCACGGAGACAGTCTTGCTCCACTTCTCACCACCATCAGAACATATCTTCAAAGCTATCAGCCCAAAGAAAAAAAGCCAACACCACTCACCGGGTGGGCTCGAACCTCCAACCTTTCGGTTAACAGCCGATCGCGCTAGCCAATTGCGCCACGGAGACAGTCGTGCTCCACTCTCACCACCTCAGAACATATCTTCAAGCTATCAGCGCAAAGAAAAAAAGCAACACCACTCCCGGGAGGGCTCGAACTCCAACCTTTCGGTTAACAGCCGATCGCGCTAGCCATTTGCGCCACGGAGACAGTCGTGCTCCACTCTCACCACCATCAGAACATATCTTCAAAGCTATCAGCGCAAAGAAAAAAGCAACACACCACTCCCGGGAGGGCTCGAACCTCCAACTTTTCGGTTAACAGCCGATCGCGCTAGCCAATTACGCCACGGAGACAGTCGTGCTCCACTCTCACCATCGTCAGAACATTTCTTCAGAGCTATCAGCCCAAAGAAAAAAAAGCGCCGCACCACCACTGGGTGGGCTCGAACCTCCGACCTTTTGGTTAACAGCCGATCGCGCTAGCCAATTGCGCCACGGAGACAGTCCTGCTCCACTCTCACCATCGTCAGAACATTTCTTCAGAGCTATCAGCCCAAAGAAAAAAAAGCGCCGCACCACCACTGGGTGGGCTCGAACCTCCAACCTTTCGGTTAACAGCCGATCACGCTAGCCAATTGCGCCACGGAGACAGTCGTGCTCCACTCTCACCACCATCAGAACATATCTTCAAAGCTATAAGCGCAAAGAAAAAAAAGCGCCGCACCATCCTCATTTTTCTACAGCCAAGAATCTAATACCGTGTGGTGTGATAGGCAAGTCCTTTTTCAAAGTACGCTGCAGAATGTCCCACAGAAAAACAGCATCCCAGCAATCAAGAAAAATGTGGTTGACAGTCTCGGGTTTCTTACAGATAAGGCAGTCCATCGACCACGGAAACAAAGAAACCCTTTTCTTGTAACCATGGTTTTACGGGCAATGTTCCGCTGTGCAGCTGAAAAAAAAATGTCTTTGCACTTGCGCGTACGGTCATCATTTCACTCTCTTCAATACGTCACGTTCAGCACCAACCTGTATACTGATCTGTAGATAGGCTGAGGCAGCATTACGTCACGTAAATCTCTGTAAAGACGTTTTCCTCTTTACAACAGATAATATTCCATTGAAAATCTCACTTTTCAGTATTTCATATGCCATTATAACTTCTCTTAAATATCCGCGTAGGTTACATTTCACAGCATACTTGATACCACATAATCAGGAATCTTATTAGAAAGTACAATTTGTAGAAATGTTCTCACAAACGGAGTACATTGGTCGCGTAAAAAAATATATCTAGACACAATTTGCTTGAGGAAGAGGTGAGCCAATCCTAAACCACCATTTCTTAGTGAATGAAATAAGTTTGTTCGACTCGTACGCTCCCAAACCGACCCCCAAACAAACACAGCTAAGACTCGATGCAATTTCTGCACATTTGCTCTTGACATAATAGGAACTGCAGAACATACCATACTTTGCAAACAATGAACCAATTGCATGCAGTCGCTCTAGAAAACATAGAAAGTTCCCTACCACCCCAGTTTCTTGTCTCTCACGAGTGCTCTCACATATCTCTTTCCAGTAATCATCCG